TCCTGCCTCCTCCCAGTAGCTGGGAATATATTTTAAAGTCTGGTTCTTGTCTGTCCAAGGTAACTGATGGAGAACTTGCTTGTTAGCTCCTGAAGCTTGGTCACCTTGTTGTCAGTCACTGTTGAATGACTGCCTGCTACTGCTTTGCCAAGATAGCATAGCAGGATGAAGTGGAGTGAAAAGGACCCAAGTTTGAGGGCTTGCTAGCCTGTATATGTCACTTGGCTCTGCCACTTGCTGACTGTTGTGGCCCTGGAAAAAGTAACTTTTGTGAGCTTTTTTTATTATAGAAAAGTAGAGTACAAGAAAGGAGTTGAGTGTGGTGATGCACACCTGTGATCCCAGAGACAGGAGGATGGCAAATTCAAGCCTGGACTGAGCAAACTTAGACCCTGTCTCTAAATAAAAAGGCTGGGGATGTAACTCAGAGCAAAGGCCTTTGGTTCAAGCCCCAGTAAAAGAGAGAGGGAGAGAGAGAGGAGAGAGAGAGAGAGGAGAGAGAGAGAGAGAGAGAAGAAAAGCCCACCGCACAATTTTACCACCTTGACATTTAAAAATAAAATCTCTGCTTCCACATGGTTAGAAAACTTCACTATATGTTCTGCTGAAGCGAGCACAGTTAGAAAACTTTAGGAGGACAGAAAGGAAGAAAATAAAAGTTGGCTGGGGGTATAACTCAGTGGTGGAGCAGTTGCCTACCGTGTATTAGATGTATGAGGCCCTGGCTTCTGTCCCCAGCAACACAGGAAAAAAAAAATTGAGTGTGGTGGCACATGCCTATAATCCCAGCACACAGGACACTTGAGGCAGGAGGATTGAAAATTTAAGACCACCCTAGTCTACATAGTAAGACCATGTCTGAAAACAAAATGAAATAAACAAAAACTGACATGCACGATAAGGCCTAACTATATAAGATTTACTTTGGGGCCGAGGATTTAGCTCAGTGGTTCTGCTGCCTGCCTCGAAGCACAAGGTCCTGAGTTCGATCCCTGGTACCAAAAAAAAAGATTTACTTTGTATTAGGTATTGTAAGTCATCTAGACATGATTTAATTTTTTTTTTTTTTTTTTGTACCAGGGATTGAACTCAGGGCCTTGCACTTTTGAGTCAGGCACGGTGCCACTGAGCTAAATCTCTGGCCCTATCTAGAGATGATTTAAAGCACAGGAGGATGTGCGCAAGTGACGTGTGAATGCTATGAAATGTTATGTAATGGACTTGAGCATTCATGGGTTTTGGAGTCCTAGAACCTAGATACTAATGGATGACTGTATTTTGCAAAGTGACTCATCAAGAGCTACCTCACTCTTCTTAAAGGATGCATAGTATTTTGTTGCATGGATTTGCATGGCATTTTTCTTGGAGCTTGGGACATAGCAAAATGAGCCAAATCTTTTTTTAATTTAAAAAAATTTTTTAAATGGTACCAGGGGCTGAATCTAAGTCCTTTATACTAAGCTGTATCCCCAGCCCTTTTTAATTTTTTTAAGACAGAGTCTTCCTAAATTGCCCAAGCTGGCCTTGAACCTCCTGCCTTAGCCTCCCAAGGAGCTGGGATTACAGGCACGTGCTACCACATCCAGCGCCAAGTCCTTGTTCTCACTGAACTGACATCCTAATAGTAAAACTGACAATATATATATGTAACAAAGCCAGGTGGTTATAAATACAGTGTGGGGCCAGGGATTTAGCTCAGTGGCACCGTGCCTGCCTCGCAGGTGCAAGGTCCTGAGTTAGATCCCCAGTACCAAAAAAACTAATAATAAAATAAAATAAAAATAAATAAATACAGTGTGGAAGAACATGGCAGTGTGAGAATATGAATGAGAGGCAGTGCCACTTAAAATAGATGGTCAGGGATCTGTACTGATGAGTTGGGATTCAGGTGGAGGCCTCAGTGAACCAAGGGGATGAGTTGTGTGCAGATTCGAGGAAGTATTTTCCCAGCAGAGGGAACTACAAAGGCAAATGCCCTGTGGTAGGAACCTCCCTGGCTTAATATGAGACCAGCAAAGTAAGCAGAGAAGGGTGTAGGGGGTCCAGGTCATGCGGGTATTATAAAGGCTTCAGAAGTTACTGTGAACAAAATAAGGCATACTAGAAGGGCTTGAGCAGAGAGACACAGTTTAAGTTGTATGTGTGTGCACATGTGTGTGTGTGATAGTGATACTGGAATTTAAACTATATCCCCAACCCTTTTTATATTTTATTTTGAGACAAGATACTGCTAAATTTCCCAGGCCACCCTCAAATTTCTGCCTCAGCCTCTTAGTAACATATTACAAGCTGTACCACTACACCTAGCCATTTTTTTCCTTCAGTACTTAAGTGCTGGAATGGAACCTAGGGCATTGCACATGTTAGGAAAGCGCTCCACCCCTGAGCCATATGCCTAGTGCTGACTTAACTTTTAAAATCACATTGGCTGCCTGTCGTGATGGCGCATGTCTGAGGCAGGAGGATCATTGGGAGTTCGAGGCCATTTGGGCTACAGAGTGAATTCAGAGCCAGCCTGAACTACACGGTGAGACCCTGTCTCAAAAAACTAAAAAATAGGGCCAGGGATTTAGCTCAGTGGTTCCGGCGCCTGCCTTGCAAGCGCAAGAACCCGAGTTCGATCTCCGGTACAAAAAAACAAAAGAACTAAACTAAACTAAAAACTAAAAAATAATAATAACCAAAATAAAATCATGTTGGTCAATTTGGTATTATGGCACATGCCTGTAATCCCACCCCAGGCAGTTTAGTGAGAACCTTCTCAAAATAAAAAATGGAAAGGTCCCAAGTTCAATCCCTGGTACCAAAAAAATAAAATAAAATAAAATTTAAAAATGTAAAGGGCTGGGCATGTGTAGCTCAGTGGTAGACCACCTACCTGCCTAGCACATGGAAGGCCCTGGGCTCAATCCCCAGAATCATGAAAATTAAAAAAAAAAAAAATCTCATTAATACACAGGGCTACTGTGAATGCACCCAAACCAACACCCGCGTTGCTCCCTACATTGCTGAAGAGTTTCCCACACCACATACATCTCAGCACACTAATGCTTTAGAAGTCATATCTGTTGTATGATTTCTTGACATTGCAATATATGCATTTACCAGATTTTCTCCTAGAAAACTTTAATCTTTTTGATCTTCATGTCCTGGTAAATTAAAGAGTACAATAATAATCCTCACTTCACAATATTTTGGGATCTTCTAGCAAAATCTTGGAACTGGAGTTGGAGGAGAGCACTTAGTTTAGAACGTGTGAGGCCTTGGGTTAGATATCCAACATCACAAAAAATTAAATAAATTTAAAAATTGGATCTGAACTGGATATGTACATGAAATTATGAGTTGATTGGGTTGGCTAGCTCCCATCTCAAGAGCCTTTGTGTCTGAGTATTCCTAGGGTCTTGCCTTTTTTTATTTCCCTTTCTTTCCCTGCCCAGTCCAATTTTGGAGATAAAAGATCTCTTTGCTGGAGCCGGGGATTTAGCTCAGTGGTTCCATTGCTTGCCTTGCAAGCACAAGGACCTGAGTTCGATCCCTGGTACCTAAAAAATAAAATAAAATAAAAGATCTCTTTGTTTATGGGGTTGAGTTTACAGGGCACAACAGCCTTTAGTTTTCTTCTCTGGAGAGAGTTGGGGGTGGGGACTTGGACATAGGTTCACTTCAGAGCTCTCCCCCTTTTTTTGGCAGTACCAGGGATCAAACTCAGGACCTTGCACTTGCAAGGCAGGCAGCAGCGCCACTGAGCTAAATCCCCAGCCCCCCAGAGCTCTCCCTTTATAGTGGTGGGCATCTTCTTATTCCTTAATTAATCATCTTCTGGTAATTGGGAAGCAGAAAAGGTTAAAATGGATGTCAAATTTTTACTCTAGGCCCCAAGTTTAAATGTTGAGGAGCTCAGGTTGCTGGCAAAACTTTGTTTTCAGGGCCGGGGATTTAGCTCAGTGTTTCCAGCGCCTGCCTCTCAAGCACAAGGTCCCAAGTTCAATCCCTGGTACCAAAAACAAAACAAAACAAAACAGAAAACTTTGTTTTCAGGAATTGGAGCCCAGAGACAGAACAAAGTTGTCCCCATGGGGAGCGTTCCCAGGACTTGGAGGGGAAGGCATGACAGCACCCCTGGATGTGGCCTGTGGATTGTACAGGCCAGACTGTTTGGCCCAACTTGTTATTCTACATAAAAGTTGATTTCCTGGGCCAGCACTGCACAGGAGACTTCAGTGTAGATGGAAATGCCCTATAATCTGCACTATCTGGTATAGCGGTCACTAGCCCTATGTGGCTATCAGAGCACTTGAAACAGCTAGTGCAGCTGAAGGTTGGACTTTTAAATTTTAATTAAAATGTAAGTGACCATATTCCGCAAGTAGACACACACTGAATCCGCTGTCTCCTGTGCATGTTAAGAGATAGATAAAACTGTGTTGCAAAGGAACAAACATAGTTTCGGAGGCGGATCTTCTCCCCAGCTTGAGATCTTCATGGAGCTAATTCCTTCTGTCCTCTGTGTCACATAGGTTGTGCCTGTCAAGTCCTTATTGCCAAATGATTCAGTGATTTGCCCTTTTTTGTAATTTCTCTCCCTCCTCCCAGGTGCCTTGAAGAAGAGTCTCACGGCCAAGCAGGTCCAGGAAGATTTCATAACTCTGGGTAGGGCATGGCCCAGGACTGCTGTGGAGAGGGCCTCTGTGGCTTTTCATTATGTTAATAATCCTTCTGTTCCCTTACAGGTCTTAGTGAGGAGAAAGCCACTTACTTTTCTGAAAAGGTATAATTCCTCTTAATCAAGGTTAAGATCCTTGTCTTTTATTTCACAAAAAGAAAAAAATG